AGAGGTCTGTCCTGGGGCCCTGGGGACTGCTCAAGGGCCTTATGCTCACCCCCTTGACCTCTTGGCAGGGTTGGGAAAGACACTTCCTCTCATCTGAGCTGCTGAAATCAATGTCAGGAACAGGGAACATAGAGGATTGTCAGGTCTTGTTTTGTAACTCCTGTTGGGTGCAGGTGGGTCCCCAGATGACCTACATTGCTTACTCTGGGTAATTATGTAATCCTGTATTTCTTGAGACTAAAACTGCCCACTTCTGTTGGAGAGATGACTTCTTCCAGGTGGCAAAGATCCCACTGGATCCCCTTAGTGAAATTCTCTAAGAAACAGGAAGGTCTGTTTGTCTTAATCAAGTCAACACTGTCCCCAGTGAAGACCTTATTAGAGAAACCAAGTCCTTTGATATTGAATCGCTTTTCCAGGTAGACCAGGAGGACACTGTGCACATGTCTAAGAGTGGTCCTCAGCTACCCTTACCAGATGAGCCTGCTTGTTTCCCAGCCACCTAACCCAAGCACTTTACTCAGCCCGAAAGCTTTCAGGTTAAATCTTGTCAGCATGAAGTTTCCACTGCGACGTGAGGCATTCATAAACCTCAGTGTAGCCAGAATATCTTAGTACGAGTGACATGGGGCCAACACGCTCACCAGACACTGTCCAGCCTTCTGGGTCCTAGGAATTTAGTGTCTGCAGGTGTTTCCTCTATTTCTCCCCCTTAATGTGGGTCAGTCTCTGGATGCCAGGCTGACATGTTGGTGTCTGACCCCTGCTTGGCAGCAAGGCAGCTGTCACCCTCAGGCTTCTTTCCTGGTCATGTGTCCTAGGTTGTGAAGAATGGGGCCACTGGAGTCCTGGCAGCTGACAATAAATCTCCGTTCTTTTGTCCACAGAGGATCAAATTCTCTCAGAACTTGGCCACACCAATAGGATTTATGGCAACGTGGGGGACGTTACAGGCGGACAGTTAATGAATGGGAGCTTCTCCATGGACGGGACAGGACAATCCTATCAGGACTTGAGGGATGGGAGCCCCTATGGAATCCCCCAGTCTCCATCTTCCATATCGTCCTTGCCATCCCACGCTCCTTTGCTCAATGGGCTGGATTACACGGTGGACAGTAATTTGGGCATCATTGCGCATGCAGGGCAGGGGGTGAGCCAGACACTGAGAGCGATGGCTGGGGGACCCACTTCTGACATCTCCACAGGAAGCAGTGTAGGCTATCCTGACTTTCCAACCAGCCCAGCCTCTTGGCTCGATGAAATGGATCATCCCCCTTTTTAAACATCTGCCCTCCCCACCCTACCTGTCCTCCTGGCCTGAGAGAATATCTTCAAGGATCAAAACAGACTTGCCTTTTTAGGATCAAAAGTGAGCCAATGTGAATTTCCATTATTTTCAATGGAAGTCCTCTGCTGATCCCCAGGAGGTCACCGCACTAGGATGCTGGTCTCCTGGGGAAATGGTGGGGGAGCAGCCTCCCCCCAGAACACAGCACAGGGCATAGAGCCTAGAGCGCTAGGGTGCTGGCTTATGGCTCCCTCCCCCACCCTGCTTACAGGCTTTGGCTGCTCAGTGCTTGGTAGCACAAGGTGACTGTGAGTCCACCTTGGCCTTTGGGAACTCTGCTCCAACTGGTGTTCTCATGAGATACCTCCCAAACCAGTGCTCTTGCTAGAACTGAGGTTCCTGAGACAGAGACATCACAGCCCTTAAGTATAAGAAATGTATTTCCAGACCACCCTTATGGAACCCTAATTTTCAAAATGAAAAGGTCATTTGTTAAAGGTCAGTGGAAACTTTGATGGCCACAGTTTGATATTGAACCCCCTCCCCCCCCATTTTTTCTTCTGCTGTGAAAAGGATGACTTCTTCCCTCTCCAGATAGTCCAAGCCAGAGAGTATGCCAGTTTGGGATTGTGAGCAATCCCATCCACATCACTGAATCCATCCCTGATGGCTAGAAGTGGTTTTCGTTGCAGGTGACTCAGGCTGGAGCTGAGTGGCCCTGGACCATCACAGTGACTGCCCGACGAGTCCCCTTGGAGCACAATGTGCCTTTTTAATTTGCTCATATCATTTATTCCACTAGACGGGCTGTGGGTTACAAAATGATCAAAGCTAAAATATGGAGAGGCCAGAACGACAATCAGTGAAAACATTTGTAGACCCATTTGGATTTCAAATGTGCAGTCCGTTTAGCCAAATCAGCAGATGCCAGTCTCCCAGAGTGCCCCTGCCTGCAGGGTGAAATGATATTGTGAGTTTGTTTTGAGGGAGTTGGTTTAGATGAGTTTGCAAGTCCACTGCCACCTGCAGCCAACCTTCCCCAGCCCTTTAAAAATGAGAGCTTTCTCTGCTGTGCTAGCCAACTCAGTTGGAGGACAGTCTTGGCCTCTTCCAAGTACCAGCAATGCTTTTTGGCCCATCTTGGTTGGGAGGAATCATTTAGGGAGCAGCTCTAAAATTGTCTAGAGGGTCCCAAGTGGTCCTTGGGTTGCATCTCTCTGGGCTTCTGGCTGGCCTCATGCCAGGCCCTATGGTGCTCCAGCCCTGCACTTGCTCAGAAAGGGGAGCTCTCTGGCCAGTGGCAGTGCCAACTCTCAGCTTGTAGGTTTGCAGTAGCACATCACCAAGCCTGAGGCAAGGGCAGAGCTAACCCCTGCTTTGTGAGCTGCCAGCCCTGTGACAGACTGCATTTTGGTGGGACATACTGTGGTGAATGGTGCCGTGACTCCCACTTTATGCATCACCCCTTGGTGTGTCAGGAGGTTCTCCATGTGCACGCTGGAAGTTAGCCAGGGGGAATTTATTCCAGTCCTCTGGGAAATGGTTTGCTTCTGCTGGCCCCCCGTTTTCTTAAACAAGATCAGCAGAGTAGGAAAGGGTAAGAAGGCACTGCCTTTCTTTCACGTGAACTGATGGGGCCCAAGACCCTAAGGACCCTTTCTTCCGTGTCATGTTTTGAGGACCGCAGAGATTTAAGTGTGTGCTAGGCAGACTCAAGGAAGAAGTAAACCTTCCTCTTTAGCTGTTACATCTTCTGTAAATGTCTTCCCAGGACTAAATTACGGGCAGTTAAGCTTCTTCAAAATGTATAGTCTGTAAATTCCTGGGATCAGCCTTCAGGCCACCTTTTCTCTGATCAATGTTGTAGTGGACCCTTATTTTTGGACGTGCTGCAATTGTTGTGAGTTTTGCTTGGAGAGTCAGCAGATGTAAGATTTCTTCTCGAGGTTCCAGGAGTAAGGAAGACGGAGGGTGAAGCCCAGATGATTCCCAGTACTGTGAACAGTGGGGGTGGCGATGGAGACTCACATGCAAGGTAACAAGCCATGTGAAGGAAAGGCATGTGTGCTTTTTTGGAGGGCTGATTCTTGAACACTGTTTTCAGCAGGCAGCTCTCAGTACACAGGAGAAAAACTGCTGGGCAATGAACCAGTTAAAGACCGGCCTACCTAGACCACTGTCACAGGTTGGTTACTTGGAGTAGGAGCTCCTGGGATCTGAAGCACTGCCTATTTTTGGTGAGTGTATTACAGGGAGAGCAGACTCTCTAAAGGAGCATGCTCCTCTGTGTAGCACTGTTTCTTTTGAGATCAGTTGACCAGTTTTTGTTTTGTGTGCGAGTTAATCATGCTCATGCCCTATTCAGCGGTGGAAGAAAGGGAGGCCTTCCTCCATAATACTAAAAACAGAAGTCTCCTGAGAACCCAGTGAGCAGTGCAGCTTGGTGTTGGTGGGAACTGCTTTGGTTTTGGTGGGGTTGGCTAGCTGCACTGGCGATAAGGCTGGGATAGTCGAGTTCCCCCTGAGCCACCTCCCCAGAGAGCAGCAAACACTGGCGCCCCATGTAGAAGCACAGCCATGAGAGGCCTCAGATTTTAAGTGGATCTCCTTGCAAGTGGGGTTAGCATTATAGACGGGCTGGTTCCACCAATTAGCCACCGTGTGCTTAGACTGTTCCTTGGCTCTCCTGTGTCTCGGAGGTGAACACAACGCTACCTTGAGGTCCTCCTCCAGGCACTCCTCTATTGCTCGGTGGTCTATGACTGAGGTAGAAGGTGCTATCTGGGAGCTGTTTCCCCCTTGCTAAAGTGACATAGATGAATTTTAAAAATGAAATGAGATCTAGAGAAATTTATATCATTTGGACCTGTCTTTGGCTCTAAGAGAGCAATTAACTAGCAACATTCATCTGTAGTACTTGGCTGATAAGCCTTAGGGTAGGAGGTTTCTGAATCTAAGAGCAAATTAATTAATAAAAAGGCAACAACACCCAAGTTTCCAATAGTAGCTGGTATACTAAAATGGGACCCATGGGGCTATGGAAGAATCTATATTTCCTAAAGTAATAAAACCACAGAAGAAACACCCAGTGCAGGGGCTAAGCTGGCCTACTGGGTAAGTCACGCTGTTGGGAAGACTGGTCCTTGCCCTTTCAGGGACTTCTCTTTCTTGCCTCAGCTAATAATTATGAATATATAAAGTGAAAATCAACTACCAGACTGATAACATCATTCCTGCAAATTAATACAGTGAAATGTCAGGGTAAGAGGACAGAATGAAGACATAAGAAAAGCATCCGCTGTGTTTTTAAAAGGTTTTTTCTTCCTTTGGCCAACCTAAAACATGATATGTAGTAAGATAATTGGGAGCCATTCAGTCTTCATAATTAAGTTCGCTTTGCAAGAATAAGTAGTCTGTAGAACAAAAGATACGACCACCTCTGAGGCTCAAGCTGCTTATTTTGAGATAACTGCCTCCTCGCAGGAGTGGGGTGAATGCTTCAGCTGAGCAAAAGCTGTGTTATGGGCGAGGTGCCATCCAGCACCCACACTCCCACCCAACCCCTCCCACATGCCACTACTGACAACTTGGTTCTAACCATGGAAATAATGATCATACCTCTTCAGCCAGCAGGGTCTGGAAGGACTGAGGCGGCTCATTTTTAAACATTGCACTTTAAAAATTGGAATCCGTGAGATGAAGAAAAATTCAATTAAGCGGAAATGAGTTCTGTTTTATTGCCTGCTGCTGAAGGGCTCTGGGCATGCTGAAAGCGAAATAAAAAGCACATCACTGGCTCTCTCTTTCTTGGATTGGTCAATTGGCCCTTTTTGCAGTAGTTGCTCCAACTGTTCTCCCATGGTGACAGGAGCCAAAAAGAGAGAGCTCAGCAAAGTCATCTCACCCACACACTGCTTGGTAGGCCCACGAAAGCACAGTTTCATGCTGCTAGCTCTGGGGAGGAGACAGCTGCAGGTTTGGAGGTGTGCCAAGCGTTCCTTTGCTTAGGGAGGCAGAGCTCAGGTGGACAGAGGACACTCCCACTCTCATCTGCTGCCCACCTAGAGACAAGAATCATTTGTACTCCCCCACTTGAGGACTGTGCAGCCAAACGGGCAGGTTTGGGCTGCAGGATCCCAGATGCTGCTCTGAACTTGCATTCAGACCTCAAAGCCCCAGCTCCCCTAAGCTCTGGATTGTTGCCCTCACCCTTTGCAGTGTAAATTTTGTACAGTGAAAAGAAATGAAGTCTCATTTGCTGGAGAAAAAAAAAAAAAAAAA